GTATTTTCTTAAATTAGCAGACCTTAGATATTTCTTTGTTTTTTTTTAATCTGTAGTTGATGCAACAACCTCTCCTCTCAGTGATACAACGGATGTTTTTGAGTGACTTAAAATAACTTTTAAAGCAGTAAAAATGATTGGATAAAACTCAGACAAATTATTTTCTTATACAAATTTGTTATTTGACATAAACTTATTATTTGATTAATTATAATTTGACAGGTAAAACTCTGAGAGAAATTTTGAGTTCTTATGCAAAAGCTCTCCTCTCATTATCAGATCCGTAAATAGACTTTACGAGGACTTGAGTAAAATATTTTGCGGTATAAATCGCTTATATTTTTCCCAATTTCTTGAAATCAATCCCATGTTTTTTTTCTCTCTCTTTTGCAGATTTATTTTTAAGAATTAAATATTTTAACCAATTTTTAAATATAATTATATATTTTATTTTAAACTTTTTATCATAATCGTTGAATGATAAAGTATAAAGACTTTTTTGGGCATTTTTGGTGATTCTTAACAATATGACAATGACAATTGATTCTTGACTTAGTATATAATAAAATATGCTATAAGGAAACTAAACAATTGAGCATTACAAATTTAACAAAATTTGCTCCATATAAACCAACATTTTTTTTTAATGAAAATATATTTTATTTTGAAAACTTGATTTGAGTGAAGAACTATGTATAGAGAAGTATAGATCAATTTGTTTGATCCGTACTGTATCAGCGCAAGTAAACAAGTTTGAACTTAAAAACCCGCTTCAATAATTATGTGAAAATGTTTAAATGCTATTTTTTTAATTTTTATTTTTATGAATAGAGAAAAGTAGAGACAATTGCATTTGGAAATTCTGCCTATGTCCTAGGTTGAAGCATTTATTTATAGAAATAAAATGTAAAATAATGTTTTCAAATTTGCAATACCAAAAACAATTTTTTTTTAAAAAAATTTGATATTACTGTATAGACGTACATTGTACGGTATACAACGACGGTAAAGCCTTTTGGGGTTATAAAAGAGCTTGATCCTCGACAAATGCCTCGTTTGCATGATGTACGTAATTTCTGTTAGCTCTATTCAGCATTTAATTTTTTGGGGGTTTTCAATGTAATTTTTCTGAACAATATCACTCACGAAAAGGTACCCACAGTAGTACAAAGCTCTGAAATTTCACAAGAAATATGTTTAAACCGGGGGAAAAAAACATTTAATAAAAAGTACTATTCTACAATAATGCAAAATAATTAAAGAAAAATATTTAAAAAAATCATCATAACCTCTGTATTTCCTTACCTGTATTTGGATAAGTATTATTCGTTTCAAATGTGCATTGTTATTGAAAGACTTAGTATAATTTAGTGATAAGCCACATTCTTTACAAAGATGATTTTTATATGAGTTGTTTTGTGGTATTTTTTTCCGATAGGTACTTAACAAGTTGCTGGATTTTCTACTTAGATCATAATACAGAAAAAAAAACTATTTGCCACCATGGGAATCTTATTTTTTTCCTTCAAAAATGCTGTCCCGAAATGTGTTTTAATTACCTAAAACCCTTCAACTGATGAGTGATATTAATATTACATTAGTTCCTCTGGTTCCATTTGTTTCACTTATTCGATATAGCCCTTAAACTGTGATGTTTTCTATATAAGTATAGAAACGTCTTTTTATTTCAAATGGTAATCAAGCCATTTAGATAATCATAGTTATATACTTTTGATTTTCATTCTGATTCTTTTTTGAACGTTTTATTTGGTTGCTTGTATGCTCTTATATTTTTACAAGAATGTTATTGTGCATAATACTGTGTTAACTCACATGTCAATCGTCAGGTGTGTACTTGTGTTAGTACGAGCTTATGTGTTTGTTGGAAGATGTTAGAAAAGCCTCTTTTTGTATAACACTACTAATTAACTTATAACCACTCACGCAATACTTTTCTATGGATGTTACTTTCATTTTTATATATCTTTTCACTAAATATTTGTTTTTTTTAATCATCTTAAATAATTTTGCTGTTTACGGGTTATTACGAATTTCAGTTAATACGAAAAGGTTTTCGCTACTCTTCGAATTCGTCTTAATGGGGCACGAACAGTATAACATTCTACTCTACTTAAAATATTTGTTTAGATATTCATGTTTTTGTTCAATTTCAAATTTAACTTTTGTATGATTTTATTGTTTATTAGACTAAACAGTTTTAAAATATAATATCTTGACTTATATGCCAAACATGGCTAGCCTTTTCTATAATATACCCCTCTACATTCGCCTTTGTCTGAGCTAAGTATATTATGATACTACTTTTCTTCATAAGCGAAATAAAAAACAGTAAAAAAGGAAGAAAAGCCTGTTGACAATATTATGATATTTAAAGATATTTTAATTTAAGTTATTTTTAGGAATAGAGAAATCAAAACAGCGAAAAACATTTGTAATCCTCATTAGAATCAATCATAAATTTTTTTTCTTCTTTCTATTATCTTAATGAGACCTTAGAATAAGTGAGATAAATTCCTTTCCACCATGTGCTGACCTTATCCGATTTGTCAGTGTATGGATGCATGCATCATTTTATCAAGTGGTTCAAGGATGCGTCAGACACCAGAGCATTTCATTTAAGGGTTTTGCTTAATGACACAGATTTAACGAGCTAATGATAACAACGAATGACTGTTCAACATTTTACGGAACGTTTATAATTGAAAGTGTACGCGGAGAATAACATACTACTGCGAGTTTGCCTCTTTTTAAGTTTCCCCTTAAACATAGCCGTAGTGGTAAATTTTGCTGTGACTTGACGCTTTTTCTTCAAATAAAATTATACAAATATAATCGTTTGCATATCACCTAAGTAACTAAAGGGAGAACGTATGACTTTTTTTGCTTGAAAAAAAGATAAGTCAATGCAATAAAGGCAAGAGCAATGCCTAGGTAGGCACAAAATTCCTTTTATATATAAAAAAAAAAAATTCTAGTCGTTTGCAAAAACAATAGAAATTTGGGCAAAAATTACAAACTAGAAAAAAAAACTTACACGAACATATAAGGATATTGTGGTTTGATTATTATTAACCAGAGAGAGAGGAGGAAATAGAAAGGGCAATATAATTACTAAAAATGTGCTTAAGCAATATCTGAACGGCCCCTTAATTCTTTTGAACCTGATGGGATACGTATAGTTTGTCTAGGGTAAGAACTCTCCCCGCCACAAAGTCTGAGGCCCTCTGCTGCTTTGGAAACAAGAATAAAGGAGGATAAAGCATTTCAGGGAGGGTGGCCTCTCTTCACTCTAGGGCTAACACAATAGACCGAAGAGAAAAATTCCCTTTCTCTAGCAGACCAGAGACAAAACCTGTCCTAAACAGTGACCCACACCCCTACTTGAAATAGTTATACCTCGTTACCATAGTCACCGCCACGGGTCCAGACGAATGTCTAGGGGAGTTCTAACTTTAGACAAACTATAGACCCCATCAAACAAATCAAGTAGACTGTTGGGCTAAATAGGTCCTATTTTATTTAGGTTTAAATTTGTTGATGACAGTCTTTTGAACGTCTCTCCATCTATTTAGAGAGTTCGCAGCATCTGTAAAACTGTCATGGCGGCATTAAAAACAATTGCATGTTAGTGAAGATTTGTACATAATTTCGCAAGGAAAATAATTGAAATAGAGCTAAGAAAGAGTGTCATAATATAAGTATTATTTATATCCTTATTCGCTATTTTGAGTCATAATTTGTACGATTTTGAAAGTTTATCATTTTATTATCATGTGTAATCGTTGAATAGAACAACATATGTCCCAGGACTCCCAGGGATTAACAGAGTCCAAATTTTGAAAAACCTATTTGTAATATTATCAACGGTAAAAAAACAAAAACAATGTGCAGCCAAAAGAAAAAATTTCTCTATAAAAAATTAGAAATAAATAATTCATATTTCAAACAAGCAATTTATTATTAATGTAAATACTCTTTAAAACTAATTAACAAGCATTATTAACTTATTCAAAATCAGAACTTAATTTATATAAAATTACTATTTAGAAATAATAAATTGTGCATGTTTTAAGACAATTATTATTTCTTTACCTATACCATTCGCGATCGCATCACTTAAATATGCCATCTCTGCTCAGGTGCACCAAAATGCATTACGATATAACCCCTTCTATAAAATATTTTTTGCATTTAGGTTTAAAATATGTTTTAAAATGTCCATTATGCTTGCATTAAGCACTATGTTTAGTTTTTAAAGAAACAATTAAAGCAATAAAAATTAAAGATATGCGTGTCCTTTTCTGTATTTGTAAATTAGATTCATTTTCTGATTAGATTAAGCACTAAGTTTAATGCAGTTTTGCGCATATAGTGTCCAAGTTTAAAAAATTTTAATCGGTTTAAAAATCAAGACAGAATTTCAGTTCTGTGATGTGCCACTTGTAGTAAACTACTTCAATTGTCAATATAACACTGTACAAAGTTTTTTTTCCTAAAGATAAAACATTTCCACTGCAGATAAGGTTGATTTATTCATTGAAAATCTAGAAGAGAAGAAATCAGGGGTGGCAAGGTTTTGATGTATGACGGCTTTTATCATGGGTTTTATCGCCCTGTCAAAAACCAAAATCTTTGGTGCCACAGTATTTTTCTTTTTTTCATATAATTAAAATAAAAAGTATCATAAATCTTAAAACATAAATTTAAAAAAAAGATTATATGAGATATTTGTCAAAAAATGACTTAAATATTACTGATGAAATTTCTATTTTTATGGCTATGAGTTACTTGAACACTCGCTATCATATGCTTCGACACAAGGACTCAGATTACTAAAAATGCCATCACACATGGGTCAGCCAATCATGTTTGTCAACAATTTCATGGACATACAACACACAGAAATTAGAAAACATTAAATGTAAGCTATTTTTGAGTTGTAATTATATTGATTTTAGAAAGATTTATCAAAAACGCTATTGATGTATGAAAAAAATTTTATTTTATAAAATTATACAGGTACATATTACAAAGTAAGAAACCTTGGTAGTAGTACCGTACATACAAGCAGCTCAGCTACAAAAATTGTACAAGAACTATATACACAACATAAAACTAGATTTGTCAACCGGACATATAATAAATTAACCAATAACATTACATAGTAAATATACAATGAACTAACTATTCTTGTCTATATTTTAAATTTACTAACAATGCCACTTCTTTTCTTCGTCTGACAATTAATTATTACTTTCAACTAAACCACCTCAAATTAATTAATTATATGACAAAGATGTAAAATGAATGATATTAGATTTCATGTGAAAATTTTAATAACTTGGAGTTTATGATAAAATTTTTCATGGGTGAAGATATTAAAATAATAAATTTCATATACTTACTGCAATAGTTATAAAGTTAAGTTTCAAATGCAATTATTTTTAATATATACACATATATTTTTAGAAAGGGGATTAGATTGGGGGGATATATATTTATTTTTTTGGATAGAAAATATAATGAAATTTCAATATTTAAAGTTTTTTTTTTAACAAAACCTATTTTTTAATTTTATGTAAGCAAATATAACACAAAAATTTTGCAAAGAGGCACCTACAACAAATCAGTTTACTTTAGATCGTTTTTTAGAGAGTAACACATTCATATTTATTCCTTGTTATATCGACAAAAGCATATAAAGTATATTTTTATATTTTAAAACAGAAACTTAAGTTTTCAAAAAAGCAGGTTAAAGTAAATTAGTTCTTTAAATGTTTAAAATTGAAACTGACCGCATAAATCTTTTATCTCAAGGAATGTATTTATCAGTGCTAATGAAATCTTAAACATAATAGTATTTATTATTTTTCTATGATGCAAATTATGCCACGAAACTATTTAAGACATTCGATAAACTAATCCTACAGTGCAACTGCGTAACAATATTATTTTAACTAAAAATATTTCAATTGAAAGAATAACTAAAAAAAATATTTTACTAGTACTTACAATTGAAAACTAAGTACAATTTGCAAGATAACTTATTTTCAGACAGGAAGAAGAATTTGTCATTAAATTTATTTCTTTACGACAAAATTTTGTAGCATCGTAAGATTTAAAGAAAGTGTGAATTTTAAAAGCAGTCATTTGAATAATTTGTGAAACAAATGTACACATTTGAATGAAAAATCGCTTAGATGTGTCATTTATATCTGAGACTACTACTTTTTTTGTATCTAACTAGAAAACAGTTCATTATTTATTGCCAAAATATTGATAAATAAAAATTATTTGTTTTAAAACACAATTTAGAATAACTTGTATAAAACATTGTCTAAATCATTACAAACATTTTAAGTGAAGCAGTTAGTGCAAGAAATATAAAAGCAAACACTCATTGTAAAAGTTATTTGCAACAACACATGAAGGCTCATCTGCAGTCCTTTACCAAAAAGCAATGTGTTGTAAACAAAGAATGTTAAAAACGTATAAACTTAATTTTTGCCACCTATAACCCCGAACGCTATTTACATCTTTAAATACCATAAAAAATTGCAAAAGTTTTATAAAATGTAGGGAATGTACACAATTCCCACTAGGCACTGGGTAGTAGAAAATTGCATATTTTCTACTAAAGTTTATTTTATTTAAACTTATAGAATGTGTATAGGTAATATGAAAGAAAGAAAAAATGGAAAAGAAGCATTTCATTTGAAAATAGATATCAACAGCTAAATGCTCAACGAGTAAACTCTGTTCAACAGAGATAGAACTATACATAGTTTACTAAAATAGAAATGAGTATAATGTATGGAAGCACAGCACCCATACTAAAAACAGAAATAAAGTAAAATGGCACTTGATGTATAATAAGATGGATTGAATAATTAAATGACTTGTTTTAAAAGCAATGAGTATTTCATATTGTGAGATGAAATAAATTTGAATACTGATCATATCACCACAACAAAGTAATTTTCATTATTTGATTATTTTTTAATCAAGTATTTTTACTAATAAAAATTGTTTATTTTTCAGTGAAAGTTTATCCAACCTTAGTTTAATCATCTCAAACATAAAAAACAATTGAAATTTTGCTTACACAATGATTAAACTAAACCACTAAATAAAAGATTTGAACTCACTCAAACAGTGAATTCAGAAACAGTTCATCTGCATAGAGAAACACGTTTATAATAAAATAGGCATCAATTATTGCAGAACAATGCATAAAAATAATAATGGTAAATGATATTAAATAAATAATCTTAAGAAACTGAAACGGTATGATTTACTTGATTAAAAGCTTCATTTGTTTTAAAAATATAAAAATTGGAAATAACAGTTAACATGTTTCAAGAGCTCAAAAATAGAATCCTATTTTTTATACTTGCCAGATATGAAAGTCTGGCGAGTCTTGAAAATGGGAGTCTATTTTTGAGTGCTTGAAACATGTATACTGTCATTTCAAATTTGTATATTTTGTGAGACGAATTAAGTTTTAAATCAAGTAATGACTCACAACTTAACTATTAATAAATATACTCAATAACTTAACAATTTTGAGTTGGTCAAATTAAGCAGAAAATGACGCACGTTAAACAGCAGGTATTAAAACGAATTTGCTTTCTAAGAGAATGGACTTATTTTTGAAACTAAGAAATTGAAAAAGTATTTCTAAGAGGAATAAATAAAACAAACATTTTTCCTTTTAAACTCAAAACTTTATAAATAAAAGATGACAGAAAATAAAAGATGTTCAAAGGTTTCATTTTCATAAACTCATTTTTATGTATGTATTTTTTAATTTGGCCTTTTTGAAATCAATTTATATACTAAAGTATGCACGACTATGTACCAGACTAAAATGAAGTTAGCAAAGTAATGCAAATTTCAAGATATTAATGTTTTTTTTTTTTTTTTAATCTCTGTATAGTGTATAGCAAGTTAAGGGAAAATAAAAAATTTCCCTTTAAAAAGATTATTAAACTAAGCAAAAATATTGAAATATCAACTGCCAGATGTTGACGCCCACTATTATTATAAAAAAGACTTTTTTGGAATAAGTTTGGTAACTATTCAGCATTTATCAATTAATTAACAATTTAATTAAATTAAATTATTTAGTTTATAAAGTAGGTTTGGTGTATATGATCAGTTTCAACTACATGATATAACATTTCAGCTAAGATGATTAACAACTTAACGTCCTGAGAAAAGTACTAACTGTAATGAATTACTAAAAATTTATACAGCACACAAATCCTTTAGTTAACAGTTCGAAGAAAACATACTACTCTACAAATGAAAAATTGTTTGTATTTTAAGAAATAAAAATTAATAATAAATGCAAAAAAAATAAGAGCATAAAGAAAACACTACAACATGTTCAATGTCTTGGTCCTATGAAAATCAGAAGTATAAAACTATAGTTATCTAAATGGCTTGTTTACAAATGGAAATAAAAAGACATTTCTATACTTAAATAGAAAGCATCACAGTTTAAGGGATGTATCGAATAAGTGATACAAATGGGAACAGAGGAACTAACGCAATATTAATATCACTCATTAATTGAAGGGTTCGGGAAAATATAATGATAAGCCACATTTTCAAACACATTTCAGGACAGTATTTTTGAAGGAAAAAAATAAGAATTTCATGATGGCAAATTGTTTTTTATTCTTTTTTCTGTATTATGATCTAAGTAGAAATTACAGCAACTTGTTAAGTACCTATCTAAAAACAATACCATAGAAGAACAACTGATATAAAAAACATATTTGTAACGAATGTGGCTTATCACTAAATTATATTAAGCCCTTCAATAATAATGCACATCTAAAACAAATAATACTTATCCAAATACAGGCAAGGAAATAGAGGTTATGATTATTTTTTTTACAATATCAGATTCAATTTAGAGCACAGCATAATTTTTTTTTAAAAATCCTTTAAAATGAATTATATCCAAATATAATACACAATTGATATCAATGACGGGAAACATGATTTAGGCTCAAACAAAAATCATATTATAATTAGTGGATATCACAAAAGTTTTAAAATCAGATGTTTCAAATAGTAATAATAATAACAAACAATACATATTCATTCCTACAATTCAAGTAGCATAGCAATATAAAAATTAAGAGAAAATTATCAAAAGCAATAATGTCTAAAAAAAGTATTAGATTTATTCTTTAAAATTTTTATAGCATTGCTATTTTTTAGGAATAACAATAGAAAAGAAAAAATAGCAATTAAAAACTTGTTTCAAACAATAATAAAAATTATTCTTGATAAAAGGACTGATTTTGTAGGAATTTAGTTTGGACAATTAGGTGAATTTGAAAATTTTTTCTTTACATATTAACAGGTGTTACATGTACACAATTACAACAACGAATGCATAAGTACAGCAATTTATACATAAAGTTAGATTATTTCACAGTAATGACCACCCTATAACTTTACCCTTGAAATCAGACAATTTCTTCAGATAAACATATTATGACAGGAAGTACAAGTACTATATTTACCCACAACAACGAGTAAAAGGGTTATTTTTTACAAACATTTACAAAGTATAACAAGCTCGATGAAGCTAACTTTTGATCAGGGCATTGCGGGCAGATTTTAGTTTATCAATGCGTTTTTGCAGATGAGCATTAGAAGTTTCCAATTCTTCAATACGAGATTGAGCTTCCCTAAGCTGGAAAGAATGAAAACATTTATTAGCAAAGCTTATACAATATAAAAATATTTATGAAAAAAATAGGCAAATCTTACATTTTAATTGCAATAGACTTTCAAATAGAATTCTTAATAATGAAAATACTAGGTAATTAAACTAAAAATTGGAGTTTTTTCCTTCAATTTTATGATAAAATATCAGTTTTGGCTTCAGTTGGAACAGATTTGGAAAAGATTTTTTTGCAAAAATGTTTCAACTGAATTTTGTAGCAAAGCTAATATGTATTGAAAAACATTTAAATAAATTTTCAACAGCTGTTTTGAAAAAGGCAACATGGATAACAGCAATCCTTTTCCAGCAACTTTTACACTTGCTTTTAAATTTAAAATGTTTAATGGAAATTCATTAAGAATTTTATTGAGTAATGATATTTCAAAATTTGATATAAGTGATGAGTAAGAAATTGCGTTTACATGAAGTATTAATTTAATTAACATGTATTGATGGAAACAATATTTCATACATTTAGAATCTCTAAAATATAAGGTTTAACTAAAACAGTATGATTTTAAAACCCATGTAGTTCAAGAAATATAATGTAAGATTGACATGCAAAATATCTTGATTATAAGGAAATGATAGAATATATATTTAATACAAAGCTGTCAAACAAAAAAGGCAAAACATGCCTAAAATATAACTTAATACAAAAAGGCACTTCAATAAATCAATACTAATATTCAACTATAAATGACAAATACATTTTCTTTTCTTATGAAATTTTTTATCTTATAGAAGTCAATACCTCTCTCAGTATTTTTCGCTTTTCAGCTTTTAAATCATCCTCAACTTTCTCAGCATCTTCAGTGGCAGTTTTGTACCTAATAACTTGGCTTTCTAACCTGGAAATCTACAAGAGATACAAATGTAAATAAATTAGAAATTTAATTTGCCAATTGAGAAATACTGAAAATATCAAACTTAAACCTCAGAATCATATGACACGGAAACAAACATATAATTATTTATACCTTAGTCTTATAAGCTTAAGGAGGGGAAAAGGCAGGTCGTACCCAGTTTTACTCAGTTATTCGTAAATTTTACAATCGCAATTATCATTTACGAGTTTATAAAAGATTCTTGCTATTTCTCTTGTACATAACTTGTCAATCTATTGTAAATTAGTATCCTTTTTATTTTTGTACTGATACAAATGAAAATGAATGTTTTGAGTTAAATAAAGTTTCTCATTTGGCAATGTTAATAAAATGAGCTAAATTAAAAGTTAACAAACTGAACAAGCCCCTTTTCATCCACATGCTGGGAATCTCTACATTTATGTTTATTAAATTATATATTTTTCTTTTTTTGCAATTTTTTGTTTATCAAATTAAGCTATGAGAAAGCATTTGTTTAATAATTTGAAAATTATACCAGAGAAGAAACTTTCAAAACAAAATTAATTGCAAACATATAAAAAAATTTGTTATTAACATTAAAAAAATCAAAATTTCCAGTTAGTGAGTGACTAAAGTCGGGGCTAAATAAAAGAGAGAAGGGCTGGTTCATTTCTCTATTAGAGATGAAGCTACGATTTCCCTCCTCATGACGTTACACCGTACACAGATTTCTGAGATAGGTAGTAAGATATTATAAAAAATTAGCATCATTCTCTCTGTAAAAATAAGTTCGGCTTTTTCTTGAAATCAGCTTTCAAACTTTACACAATTAACACACTTCCGATCGAAACATAGTTCAAAAAAATTTTCTCGGCCTTAATATTAAAAAAACAAAACAAAACATACCATTTTAAACTTATAAAAATATTTTACTAGTTGTCGTAAATGACACTATAAATACTTTATTTTAAAATTTTCAGCATTAACTTTCATCATTAAAAAAAATTAAAGTCAATATTAATTAAGGTTAATATCCCAAGACACAGGAATCGAGAAGTCATGCATTATCTTCAGCATATATTGACATTTAAATCATGCATGCATCTTCAACAGTGTCTAGAATATCATTAGTCCAAAACTATATTTTTCTGTCCTTTGAAAATGCTTTTTCTAACAATTCCAGGGTTAAATAAAAACCTATTTCTGAATTTTTTATTTCTGCACATACTTTTGACATTAGATTATGTAGCTTATTTACAATTAGCAAGTGTTTATATCAAGTTGTTAGAGATAATAATTGCTTTTTGACTGCACACTCTCATCTTGCTTACAACTTCATTTACTTTAGAGAACAAGGGAAAATTATATTTTTTCCTTTTGTGTTTCTATCAGAATTTTTGCAAGTAGCAATTGCGTAAACTTACATTTAGTTAACAGGGTTCCCACTCTATGATGAGATTGAAATTCAAGGACTTTCCAGGACTTTTCAAGGACCTCAACAAAATTTTCAAGGACCTTAATCTAAGACCAATTTTAAANTAATAATTTCAAATTTTTTGTAATTCACTTAAAAAAACTGAGGAAAATTATCATAGAAAACAACAAATGTCTTGGAATATGTCACAAAAAAAAGAATGCTATAATATTAGTTAGACCGAACGCTCTGTTCTTGAAGTAAAAGTTCAAACTTTGCATCGCAGGCGAAAATTGGAGGTTTGGCGCGGCGCAAATTTCTTCAAAGGACTGAACCAGCCATTATTCTCTTTTTAGCCCTGGATTTAAGTAATGTTTGAGATTGAGAGAAAAAGAAAACCATTCATAACTATACATCAGACATTTTGTTCAATTTTAAAATCATAGACTTTTGGGCATAGATATTTAAAGAAATAACATTTATAATGATTTTTTCAATTAATTCATAATACTTAATAATGGATGAAAAAACTTAAGAGTTATTTTTAAAACTAGAAGAAGAGAAAAACTCACATTGCTTTGTAAAGTAGTAATTTCTTGCTCTGCTTTCTTCAGTCTAAATTTATAATCACTTATTTGCTTGTTGGCTTCACCTAGAAACAAAGATTCCACATAAAAAATTACACATGTTAAATTTAACAAAGACAATGACACATTATTCAGTTAACAAATAACATACTTCCATAATTAACATTATACAAATAGTTCCTAGCTTAAAATAATGATTAATTTTTCTTCATCTACTTTACACTATGGTTATGAAGATGTTAGTTTTAATATAATATATTGTTTAAATTGAAAATTTGCTTTATTTCACATAATATTTTGTAATTTTTGAATATTGAGAATGCTAATATATTAAAACTAAACAAATTTAAGAAATTAAAAAGTAAAATATTTACGCTTTGTGTGTATCTTTAAAAATAGGGACCTCTGAAGTTTTTAAATGGGACCTGCTGCTTTTAGGAAAAAGAACCCAAAAATTTGAATGTCCTGAGGAACTGAAGCTTACAAAATCTAGCAGAATTACTGTTTATACACTATTAAAATTAGCAAGTGAGAAAAATCAATTATTCCTCCATTACAAGAGTGTATTTTTTTTTCTGTCAATCTTGAATAAAATCAATGTTGAATTAGTGACTTACTAAATTGAGATAAGACACTTGTTATAAGACATAGATTTCATGTCATAATTCAATACAACATTTATATTAAGAAACAAGAGATGTTTGCAATAATACCAGTTCGATTAGGTGCAGTTAATAATTTGCTGATATGTGGCATAATTTTTTTTTAATAATTTACTTCTTATTTGTGGCATCACCACTTATAATAAAACTGTAAAAGTATATGAAATTGAAGTATTAAAGTAGGGGTGCACAACCTTTTTCAGTGAAGGGCCACATGCACAGCAGATTGGCCAATGAAGGGCCGCATGCCAAAGTGTTTAGACGGACATATTGAAAGCAATTGTTGGTGGTGATTGTTATATAAACATCATTGTTTATATAACACTAAATTCTTTTTGTCGGTTTACCTTGTAATCTCTTTGCAGAAAATACAATACTTTAAAGCGTTTAAAATTAGAAAATGCAAAACTGATTACTTAAGAAGGAAAACAGAATTCNAAAGTATATGAAATTGAAGTATTAAAGTTTAAGAATATTACCATAAACTTTAAATAAAAGCTAAGAGAAAATAACAAATTTTGGTAGAACACACATCCAAGTAATAAATATACTTTAATAATAAACTGAATAGTTGATTATTGAACTCAATTTAATAAGTTACTAATTGAACACTGCTTTTATTCAAGATTGACAGAAAAAAAATCCACTCTTGTAATGTAGGAATAATTTGTAGAAAAATATATGCCAGTATATATAGCATAACACAAAAAATAAGTAGGACACAAAACTTTGATTCGCCAATGGCAATCGAATATTCGGGGCAGGAAAGAAAATTTTGTCTTCTGAAATGTTGTGTTTCAAACCAAATGACCATATTTTTCCTAAGTTCTGAGTGAACAAATACAATAAAAGGAGCAATAGCTTCAGACTTAAAGAGGGAGATTAACTAAATATGCATTACAAAAAGACTACAATCTATGTCGACATCTTTTTGTGTTTTTGATGCATTGGAGTAACCTTCTAGAGATAAAAAGAATGGAGGAGATAAAGAAACTCTTCATACATTAAACCAAATATCAATGATTAAGTTAATACAGTGTGGGCAAAATTAAAGTTTGTTTATTTCAATAACATTTATTCAGATGCTGAAGAAGTTAAACAATGAAGATTCCTGAATATGCTCCAGATTATAATATTTTTGTGCTATTCTACCAAAGATCACAGCTTTCCATAAAAGTGGTTTCAGCTATCATAAAAGACTGAAGATAGCTGACAGAATTTTTTTAAAGATTGAGATACTTGATGATTTGCTCAGAATTTCTACAAATTGACCCTTCCAAACAGAATTTGATATTAGATCTGAATTTAACATATGATATTTCAGTCGCAAAAGGCAGCAGTATAAAAATAATAAATGTTAAAAGTATGGGACCATTTCTGGTGTCTTAATTTTAAGATATTTTTTGTATTTTAAATGATATATGGATAAGATTGGAACTATTGAAGCTTTTTTAAACTAATGTCAGTGCTTTTTTTCCAGCAATAAACGAATTTCAGTTTCTTTTTCTTCATTCTTTTATGGTTTTGATCACCAAAAAGTTCTTTATCTACATCTGTTAACATTTTGAATATTAGCCAATATTTTTTATGAAAATTAAGGTGAGCAAAAATTTTAGTTTTGCTAGTACATTTATAACTGAAATTTAATAACATGATTAAAAGATAGCTTTGAAGATACAAAAATTAAAGGTGAGTTTGAAGAGAAATATAGCATTTTCAAACACACCTTTATCAATGTAAGCAATAATGATGTAAAAATAATGATTGCAATCCACAATATAAGTCCTAGTTAAATAAAAATAAAACTATCAAAATTTCGAACTGACTCACAAGATGTAAAAGCTAGATAGGTATGCAAAGAAATTCGACAATTAGAAATACTGTATAATCTATAGTTCGTTCACCAGGCGTTGGCACTTGGCTCCATCTCCTCAGACGCAGATTTCATTTCAGAGCGGGAGTAAGAAGAGAAACATCTCCGCATTGAAATTGAGACAACCCTTAATGTGCGACAAACACAAAAGTTAATTCTTTTTCAGTCACTTACTTTGCTTTATCATCTGTTATTATACTTTTTGTTTCTCTAGATAGTTAAATATATTTTAAATTTAGAAACTGTTATTTTCCCAGCAAAATGTTTCAAAAAGAACAAACTATTCACTAAAAAGAGAAATATCAACAAATTTATGAAATATTTAATGTCAAAAAAATGCACGTAACGTTTGCGAAATAAATATTTTTGACATACGATCGCCAAATAGCAAACTAGTTCAGGATTGCTAACAACCTTCTCCCAAAAACAGCAAAATAGTATAGTCGCATACCACGTGATTAAGGCGGAGCCAAGTGCCAACTCCTGGTGAATGAGCTATATATGGAAATGATAAATTAGTTTCATAGACAAAATATGTTTCTCAGAATCATTAGTTTATAGAAAAATGAGTCAACTATGTTAACAAGTAATATACTTTATTCTATTGAACAAATGGAAAGCTTTAAACATAAAATACACAGAGAGAGCTTTCTTTTTTAAAGCAATCTTTAACATTTTAAAGATACCTATCACATTTAAATGGTTTTACTGGGAGTTGAAATAAAATAGCTTTAATGAGAAATTTTTCTCCTTTTTTCAATAAGTAAAAAAATCAATGGAATAAACAAGATTACTTTTTGGATTCTTTCTAGAGCAGAAGTAAACAATCTTGTGCTTGCATTTTCAATAAAATATTTTAATTAAAGAAGAAAAAAATGTTTTTAGCCCATAGAAACATTTTAATCTCAGCATTTAAAAAACAAAATAGACGATCCTTAAAGACTGTTGTTTTTATTTGTATAACTCACCATAGATATATTAGACATTAATAATTTATTTTAGTTTCTAAAAATGAAAAAAAAAAAAAAATAATAATCTGAATGCTAATGCTCAATCTGGAAATTGTGCTAAGCCTCTAAATTTTGTTCTGAAATGCTCTTAAAGCAGCAGACTATTATTTAAATGAACACATAAACAATAATTCCATGTTCATCTTAAAATTAAATTAAAAAATATTACAATTATTTTTTAATTATTTTATGAACTATCTTTTAGAACAAATACACTATGGAATAATATGGATTTTTAAATTTACTTACGTTGTACTTCTAGAACTTTAGTGTCAGGCCCGTTAATATGATTATGGTTAACACCAGAATTTTCCATTTTTGATAATTTTTGCCTTTCTTCTTCTAAATCCAATCTTAACCTATAAATCTGTTAATCAATAAATATTAGTTATAGTTTGTTATGTAATATTTCTGTTGTTAAAAATCTATTATTAAATATTTGTAATATAAAAAACAAGCTTTACAGATACATGGATATTTTTTTTTACACTTAAATTTTTTTAGCACTATTCCAAAAAAAAGTTTTTTTTCTTTGGCACAGCCTGCAGAATGTATATATATAAAAAAAAGTCACAAAAGACAACAGAATGTATAAGAAATCTGAAATACACTTACTTCATCTAATAATTCTTGTTTTTCTTCAATAAACTTTTTTAATCGAACATCTAAAACAAACAGTATACATATTTTTTAAAATATAAATACTCTTAAATATAAATTCTGTCAATAGAAAAAAAAAACTTTCAGATAAAAAAACATCTCAGTTTGCATATCAACTGAAATAGTAGTGCATATCAATGAACTTATATCAAGTTTGCACATACAATACTGCTCAAATATAGATAAAACAAATTCGTAACATTACTATTGATAAATAAGAAAATAGAAAATACAGTGATTCTTAAGCATTATTTTTCATTGCATGAATAATGATGTAAAAATATTTATAATCCAGTAACATAAAATATAGTCAATACCTAAACTGAACAATTGCATTATTTTTAAATATCTGGATTTTATTAGAAATACTTCGTAAAACTACAAAACTTCATTGATACTGAAATTTTTTATAGGTATTATTAGAAAAAATTAAATTTTTAGTCTATCATTTTATAATATTGTTAATAGTATCAATTTAATTTAATATTACCTAAAAATGATTTGAATTAGACTAAATTAGAACAGGCCATATTCTGAAAATGAGGTTTATGATCATATCAGAGAGAATTTAAGTTAGATTTAAAATAAGAAGAAAAAGTAAACTATATATAGCATTTCAGATTAATGAATTTTTATGTATCACTTACCAGTAGAGCATTGCAAAAAATAGTTTTTAATTTCAAAAATGACTGTTTCTAGAATAATTTAATAATATAAATTGATTTATAATAATTCAAATTCATTAAAAGTGTACCAACATAATATTATATAATTTCTGTGTAGCACCTACTAGTAAAATATTGTAGCAACATTTTTCTTATTTAAAAAAAAAATTGTTTCTTCTAGAATAATTCATTAATATATAAATTGCTTATAATAATTCGAATTCAGTAACATGCCCGAATGACATTATGTATTGTGATTTAATGTAAAATGCAAATGATAACAACATTAAATTCCTCACCTAATGAACCATTTCCTACTTGGTCTAAAAGCTGAGCTGATTTTTGAGACAGCAAAGCTGCAGAGGAGTATTGCTTACTCTTTTTATTGGAAGAAGGTTTGTGTATATATTCTTCACTAATGTCTCCATTCATTCCATTTTCACCCACAAGAACTAGCCCATGATCCTTAAATCACAGAAAATAATTAATAGAAAACATTGCATGCTTTAGAACAAAAAAACAAAACAAAAAATATCGTAGACAGAAAGGCATACATAATATATCATACCTCTATTAATTGATCTCTCTGCTTCAAATTGTAAAGTAAACATTCATTTTCTTCTTTCAAATTTTCAAAATCCCTTTTCAGTTGGTCATAAAGCTAAACAAGGAAAGAGGAAAAATTGCTTAATGATAAATTGCTTGACATATATTAACAATAAATAAAAAACATACTAATTTTTTTTTAAAAAAGAGTAATTGTAGCTAAGACTATAAATCGTAAATTACTGAATCAATTTATTTCATAAAATATATGAACAAAATGAATGAATATGAACATATACGAACAGAAAAAGATAAATTATAAGCACACACTTTTTCACATAACTCATTTAAAAGTAAGTTATACAAATCTAAAATATTGACTACATTAAAATATAATAGATTTTGAAATGCAGGAATGTGTTATATTTCCTGTGATTCAGTTTTTAATTACAATGAGGTTATGAGGAAAAAAGTTAAATATTTCACAATGTTGAGCAATTATGTATTTAATCCAAAAGGTTAAATACACCAAATATAGTACATTCCTATTGAAAACCAGCATTTACTTTTATCAACTGCTATTTGTTACAGAGAAGTTAAACTATAAAGAACCCAACTTTCTTTTGAAAAGCTCATATTATTCATTGTCTCATGAAAACAGTATTTGCATTAGGTAAGTACACTGATATATAAAACAAATGACAGAACATATATTCTTTTTACACCTTAATTCAATTCACTTACCCGTTTCTTTTCTCTAGTTTCTTTTCTGGACTCATTAAGATTTTCAGTCATTTCTTCAATTTCATCCTTTAATGTTTCTACAGAATATATATAAGCAGATTTTTCATTATCTAACTGAGCATTGCTAATCATGGCTTTTCGAAACTTTTCTTCTAAATCTGAGATTTGAATCTGTAAAACATGTAATCAAGCTTTTATAAATCTTGCAAATTTTCAGAAACAAATAAATTTTACAAATATAATTCTTACAACTCAGCTAAAAACAGTGCAATTTATAAGGTATACAAGCTTATTTAAAAGCAGAAATATTACCGAATAAAAAACATATATCGATATAAAAACTTACATTTTAAAGAGAAACCAAAAAATACTTCTTTTTATATTTTCATCATACAGTAGAGTCCCGATTATGCGAGTTTTCCCTTTAACCAATTTATCAAAGATTCCAAGTAAATTTTTTATTTTTAAAACTACCGCTGAAAAAAATCTGAATTTTATCTTCCAAACACTCAAGAAAACAAAATCCAACAGCTTGATTTGATGAAATGATATCATCAATAATGAAAATGAATCTACCGAAGATGATGAAGACAGTGATGATGATCAACATATAAAAATTTCTCATACAGATCGACTGAACGCTATCGAAAGTGGTATTGAATACATAGGAACAACAAGAGGTGACACCAGCCTTCCTGTTATTCTTAAAAAAATGGTGAAATATTGCAGCAGAAAAGGGCCAAAGTAATGTAAAACAAAAAACAATTAGGGACTTTTTAAGTAAAACCTTTTAATTCTTGTAATGTATGATCTTTAAATGTATTTAAGTAAGCTTTTTAAATATAATTTGAATTGTATGTGGTGTACTCATATAAATTTTGCATTTCTTAAATATATTACATTTATACCTACTCTTTTTCTTTCCTTTCTTATACTCTTTGCTTTAATCGAGTTTTTTGGTTATCCAAATTAGTCGTGGTCCACATTAACTCGGATAATAGGGACTCTACTGTATATAAATAAACAGTTGGAATTATAATGAAAATTTCCTTTCTTTATTGCTGGTTTATAGCTAAAAATAAAATTTTACAATCAAAATTTTTTCAAGGAGACTTTTAAAATATGTTCTTGCCTTTAAATCTCTCCCACTCAAACATGATCTTAATTCTTTCAAATCAAGAGCATCTGTAGAATCTTCACTACTTCTTCTTGAACTAGTGTAAGAAGATGCACCTGACATATAAGATGGAGTTCTCACCTAAATTTAAATAAATAAAAGTCAGGAGAAAATAGTAAACAAATTTTTATAGAGTTTAAGACAGAAATAGAATGACAATCTTCAGTCACAATACACAAATGGAGTATATTCAATTTCAGGAACTAAATTTTTTTTCATCAGTACTTTATTAATTTTGTACTTATGTAAAAGAGGAAATAGTGTACTTTAACACATTTGATACAATTTAACAACAAAATTGATTCCTTGTTGTCATTTTATTTGGTGCTCAGTTTCTACATAATATTTAATTGATTTCAACATAATATTTAAATCACTCTAACAAAACTTTACAATACTATATTGCTAAACAAATATAGCATTGTAAAATTTGTTGACAAAAGAAACTATATATTAATTTTAGAAAACTTAATATGAAATCTTACATCCGCAACAGGTCGATTAGTGCGAGCAACTTCACTGGCAAGTTCAAATTGTCTATCACTTTGTTCATCTGCCTATAAAAAAGATAAAATAATGTTAGTAAGAAGAAGAAGAAAAAAAAGCTTTAAAATAAATTAAGCAAAACTGGGCCATATTTTTATTCCATTAACAACCTTCTAAGTCTCAAATAATTAAACTAAAACAAATATTCTCTTAAAACTGGTTTATAGGATTTTTTTTTCTTTTCAAATTTACCATTTAAATTGCAAATAAATATTGAAGAAGCTCTGATAGATCCTCCAAAGTTAAATAAAAAAGAATATTTCTTCTATCAAATGATCTCCTTATATATATTATATAAATGTCCTTTGATCAAATGAAGAAAGAATATTTTTATTAGTCATATTAGATCATATTAGATTTTTTTAAAACTACTTCCAATAATCATGAAGTTAAAATGAATTAAAAATAACAAAAATGTAAAACATTGAATCTTCTTATAAATAAAATTTTATTTTAATGGAACAAAATGTTTGTTCCTCCCCTCCTGACTTTATACATGCAGCCCCCTTTTTTTTTAATTATTCGTCATTTTCACAAAAAATGATATTATTTGCTAACAACAAAGCTAAGTTCCAAATAATTTGAAAAAAGAAAATACTTAAAAGAGATTATGAGCAAAAGTAAAGACATTTAAAACTAATACCAAGAGAGTATATTATAAATCGCAAATTATTAAAATTTCAATTGTTTAAGCATTAGTAAAAATTACTTTTGCTAGATCAGATATTTTCAAGGAGGGAACATTTGACTTATAATTATCAAATAAAAAAAAATTTCACAAATATATGAGATATTTTTTTAAAAACAAATTTTACAACACTTCTCAAAATTTATAACAAATAGCCTGTAAAAAGCATCTTTCAGTGAAAATAACCCTTATCAATTTGTTGAGCTGGTCATATACTGCTGATATACTCATAAATAATTAGCACCAAGATATTAATAAAAATCATTTATAATTTAAAATAATGCTTAAAAAGAAAAAGCAAACTCTTAAGCAAAAACAAATAATCCTTAAGTACGTATTTCCTTATATCAGTATATGAAAAATTATTTGACAAATAATTTCAACACAGAAGCTATTTGACAAAAAAAAAAAAAAAAAATTGAAGCTTTTTCCTTTGAAATGAAGCAGATTACGATTAAGGAAATAATATTATAGTTGAAATTGTATGGATTTAGCTTCACTCCTCATATTACTTCGTCACCTCANGAAATAAAAAAAAAAAAAAAAAAGGAATTAAGGTATCTATAGACAAAGATATAAGTAGAATTGACTTTTATACAAAGATATAAATTCTGAAATCCTAATAAGGATTTCAGAATTTATATCTCTTGTATTTTACAATTAGTAATGTAATAGAGAAGAAGAGTTTTACAGCACCTCAGACTGCAGCCTAAAAAATAGTTTATGAGCAAGAAAATAAAGAAGTTAACTTTTCAAATGAACTACAATTGAAGATATCTTATGAGAATAAAAACATCTTTTGCAAAACTAGTTTAGTTTATAAGTCTAAAAAATTTTTTCAAGAAAAAACAATAATAATATAAAGACAGAATTGGAATAAGTATGGGAGATTTTCTAATAACGTTAACATTTGCTTAAGACAATATGAAATTTTTTCAATTTCTATTTTTTTTTTTTTTTTTTTTTTTTTTTTTTTTTTTTTTTTTTTTTTTTTTTTTTTTTTTTTTTTTTTTTTTTTTTTTTTTTTTTTTTTTTTTTTTTTT